GTACCTGGAATTTTTCAAATTTACACCTGGAAAAGCTAGGGAATTTTGTTTTGTCTGGCCAGTATACACCCTGTCACAATATTAACAGGGTAATTTCAATGGTTAAATAAATACTGCAGGCAGCGCTATCAGCTCCAAAATGATCAATCACATTCGATGAAGGCTTTCTATCACCTTCTGGCGATGCACCCTCGTGTGGTTGCCCGAGCTGGCTCTAGGCTTTTAGGGGGCCTAGGTGAGAAATGATTTGTCCCCCCCTCCCCCCCCCATCTCACTGAGAAACGTCTCCATCCCGCCCCGCTCAACCTCCCCTCCTCAAAAGGAAAGCAAATCAGTACAGTACTAACAATTTCTTGTTGCTGCAATTTATTATTACTAAAGTAATTTACATATTAATATTTTTGCTTCCTGGTTTTCTTTGAAGCAAAATTGTCTGTAATGTCATCATATGACACTTGTTTCCCGACAGCAATATTTATGCTAATTACAGCAAACCCAATAAGCCTATCCTGAGCCATTGTAGACCTTAAGTATGTTTTGATAAGCTCCTCTGCTGAAGCTTCAGTTACAGGGAGTGACTGCTATCCTCAGGGCTGTCCACATATTTGGATAAATCTCTTTAATCTGCTTTTCATGTATGTGTATATATTTAAGAAGTTCCAATGCTGCCATATTATCAGAGGGTAAAGTCTGGTAGGTTTTTCATCTCAAAGGCCAGTTCTTTTCCATCGATATCTGACTTTCCACCATAGTTCAGGGTGTCACTCAGTTCCTGATATTGTTTTGTGAGTGAATCAATGGACAATTCTTTGAAGTGAAAGAGAACTCCTAATTTGTTTCTTAACTTCTCCCAAGCTCTGGAACCTTTCATTGAGTGATATGAAAACAGCCTACCACCACATTGAAAAAAAAATGCTTCTAATCTTCTCAACGCATCAGAAATTAGCTCATCTGGAGCTTCATATCCAAAGTGTCTCTCCGTCATTCCAAGTTCTCTTTCTTTAACACAGCCTCCACATTAATTTCCTCGCACATTTTCTTTATCTGATGCTTGTGCTGAGACAAATCCATTCTCACGGTAGCTCACTATAGAGGCTTTAGTGTTCTTGAGTAAACTCATAGCCACATCAAGCTGCATAGTAGTAGACTGCAAGAGTTTGGAGTTTGCTCACTTGTTGTATTTGTTGCAGAATGTCATACCATACCACGGTGCTTATAAAAAACTGGTAAGACCCAACTTCCTCTGCCAGTGACTGGGCTTCTATCCTTGTCACAGGGCTTGTGACTTTGTTCCTCATACCCAGCAGGACCTCCCTTACTTGTTTATTTTGATAACACACAGCCTCTATAGCTTTGATACGACTTTCCCACCTTGTATCTGACCATGATTTCAGGGAGATATCTACCCTGTTCTCCAGTATTGCCCATCACTGTGTTGCAGCGGAAAAGATAGTTAACAGCTTCTGAAGAATTCCAAAGTACCCTCATGCATCTTGGGAGCTTTTAGCTGCATCAGCCACCACCGAGTTCAGGGTATGTGCACCACAAGGAACAAAGAGTGCACTGGGATTTGTAGCCAAAAGCCGTGCTTGCACTCACTTGTTTTTCCTTTCATGTTTGATCCATTATAATAGAACTGACCTCTTCAATCAGCAAATGTTATGTTCAAGTTCTTGAGTTTCTCCAGAATAAGGTCTGCCAATCCTTGACCTGTTGTTTATTAAAGGCCAATAAAATTAATTTTGACCGGGGTGTCTTCTAGCGTTACAGTCCTCAAGATGACTGACATTTGTTCTTGATGGCTGATCTCAGGTGTGCAATCCTGTATAATTGAATAGTACCTAGACATTTTTACCTGTGCTAAGATTTTCTCCAGGATTTTGCCACTGATTGACTCGATGAGCTCATGTGTGATGGACTGAAGTGTGATTGTGCATAGTACTATAGGAAGTATGTCAGGAAATAAACTATAACAGCAGAACAAGAGTTAATTATGTTATTGTATGTAGTAAATATCAAGAAAGCAGTAATAATTAATGTAATGCTTCTTAAGGTTCAAATTTTCATTATAAGTGTTCCTAACTCGGCAGATAACTTGAAAAATTCACTCAGCCAGCCTCGTATTTTTAACTAAATTCCTGAAGGAGGCATCATGGGCTCCTTATAAGCTGGGGGCCCGAGGCGGCTGTCTAGTCTACTTATGCCTCGAGCCGGTTGAGGTAGTTACCCATGCTTATACTGTACTGTATATTTGCACTAGCAAGTGACGAAACTTATGAATCGACAATGAACTCTTCAGCAAATATGTACTGAATTTGCAGTACCACTTACCTCTGCCTTTGGAGACGAAAAAAAATAATCCAAGATCAATTATGTTTGCTCTGTATAAACAGTTTATTTTTCTTGTTCAAACGGAGGAAGTCATCATAATCATTCCAGGGGGTCAGCAAGATATGGTCTGGGTGCACTATGTCAGGTTTATTTTTTTCATTTGCATCTCAACACCAAATATTAAGTCCTAGTTCCCTTCTTCATTTGGAATTTGAAACTTGAGTCTTACAGGTAATTAATCAAAGACAGATGTGCCGTACTGCTATAAACCAACCCTTATTACACAACACTTCAAAAACTGTAAATGCGTTTTATTTATTGTACTCTGAAGTGCCTTGGCTAGTTATATCTGGCAAAAGAGAATTCTTGACATAAAAGGTGTTGAGGGGTGAAGCGGGAGAGGGTAGGAGGGTGACCGGGAGTGTGAGGAAGGAGAGCGAGGGTGGGTGGGTGTCAGGAGGAGGAGGATGGGAAGTGACGTAAGAATGAACAACGTGGAACTACACACGCTGGCACTCCACTGACAGACGCTGTGGGAGACTTGGGCGTCCTTGGCTGTTGGCACGCCACAGGCAAGTCAGTTCCTGCACACTCCCGCCAGAGCTTAATAAACCAGTCTGGTACAATAATTAGTGGTAAATTATGCACATGATAAGCACAGGACACAAAAACTAAATAATAGTGTGTTGGGTCAGCAAGATGGGAATGTTAGGTACCTGCTATCCGATTTGTATCGAGGATCCCCTTTACGAGTCACTACAGTGAACTTACCGCACCTCCAATTTATACCTAAAACTGATTATCTATTTGCAAACTCGAGAATAATTGTACATTAGTGTAATATAAGGCTAACTTTGTTAGGTTTACATAACACTGGTTAGGAGACGAAGTTAACTACGCTTTAATTGGTGCTTAATGAACGTACAGTATCTAGTTAAATTAATAGCACTATTTTTGCTATTTTACGTTATTTTTTTGCCTTTGCTTACTCATCTAGGAATAGTTTTTACGTGTTCAGTCAAAAGGAATAATCATCGAACAAACATTTGGGAATTGTACTCTGAAAATTCTCGTCATTACTGTTGTCGGGTTGGTTACATTCTAGCGAAACTTATGGAGGCCAGCGACAATCACATGGCAGGACCATAATTGTGTTCCTCTGTGAATGGGACCGTAATAGTGTGCGGGGGATGGAATCCTAGTGTTAGGAATGTAATTATCTTGAAAGGGAGAATGCGCTATTTGCTTTTAAGGATGTATCAAACACATACATGACTGGATTTTGCGGGAAATCTAACAACGGAGGCATATGTTCCCATCAACACCTGTATCAAGGACTGGCCGTGTCATAGTGGCATTTGTCTTCTTATTTCGGTAACGGGAATGACATTCTTGGTGATTTACAGGATCAACTATAAGTAGAAGTGTGGTACAGGGTTGTTGTAGGGAGTGTTTCAATCATCATCCACGTCACCCCTCCGCCACGTCTTCCTTTATCCCCCTCCCCCCCCTCGCTCTGCATCCCTCTCCTTTCCACCCACAGGCACTAACTTTTCTTCGTAATAACAAGTGATGCCGTTATTTCTCATTTAGTAGTACATTCCTGATCGTGGTGTCTTAAGGAAATGATAAAAGGACTATTCATTTAACCAAAATAATGATGAAATTGTGGGAACGTTTAGGCAAGCTCCACGTCACCATGTTTGACGTTGGCGCCCCTCCCCCTCCCTCACCAACTACGGGGCTCGGTGCAGGAGCTCCTTTGGCGTAAGTGGCACACTGTTGTATGAGTGGTTTTACATTTGGTTAAATATTTCAAAGGGAATGTTTATTGAACAGCTATGGTACAGTAGTTGAGGAACATTATAAACCATTAAAAATGTACAGGGAAGACAATGTCGGCGCAGATGGTAGTAGTGTTCTCCAATCTCACCGCAACTACTCACCCCCCTCCCTCTTCACCCTGTCGTTGGCCTGGACTCCGTTTTCTCTGCATCCCCACATTGCCCCCATCTGTCACCTTCCCGCTGGTTACTTTATCATTTTCGTCACTTGCTAACAAATGGGAAATGGCTCTGCACTCGACTCGTATGATTCTCTCATAAACATTAAATCAATACTACTATCACATCAAACATTTCCTGTAATCTTGTACATTGGAAAGAAGTCAGCAAATGCCTAATCTTCAGTTGTAATTACATACATACCAGCAGTAAACATAGTCATTGTTACCAGTGCCTCCTGTTCGCTCTTCCGCCTCTCCGTTCAAGTGACTCACAGGTGCTCATAATGTTCCTAAGTAACTCACAGATGTTCTTAATGTTCCTACGTGACTCATAGCTGTTCTTAATGTTCCCAAGTGGCTCACTGGTACTCATGGTGGTCCCGAATGACTCACAAGCGGTCATGATAAATCCAAGTGAATCACGGATGCTTTTAGTAACACCTAGTCGGGGAGGGGGTTAATCCATTTCTCTGTTGGCTCTAAAGTTCGACCAAAGATAGCCGACAAAGGTTTATATCCGACAATGTCCAGATGCGTAATGAGTTCTTTATACTCACCAGGGAATTTAGAACCTAGTCAATAATTCCGTCTTGTACGACCCAGCCTCTCTCTTCCCACTGCACCTCACCAGACTTTCCTTTCCCCCCCTCTCCACCCACTAGTTGGGTGGGTTACGTGGGAGGGGAGCGTGGAACCTGTTGAGGGGTGGTATCCGAGGACGACGGTTTCAGTGTACCACTGCCTCGGGTCACGTTAACAAGTGCCCACACACCAGCCGCCAACTCCCACCACTCGGATTCGACTCTCCACCTTTACGTTGGTAAAAACAAAAGAAATAATCATAGCCTATTTTCGATTGTTTTTTATCAGTTGGGAATTAATTCTTTTTAATGAACTGAGTTTGTGACACTAGGGTTTTAGGTAGATGCTGGCGGCTTTTGGTTTAGTATTATACTGTATACGTACGTGCTGTGTACTATATGTACGGCACGCATGTTGAACCTATGTGAGTATGTATGACAATTTTATCGATACGCTAAGTAATAGAGCTCCGGTAATTTGAGAATGAGCTTGAAAGTGTAAAGTTATTAGAGATGGCAAAGTTTTGAGCTTTGAATAATTTGTGTAATTTTGACAACTGTATATAGGAGTTTCTTTATCGAAGTGGGTTGTTCTAAATGCTGATTTGATAATTTATAATGGCAAAATTTATGCTTCATCCCTCTAAATAACACCGACCAAACGCCCCAACGGTTTGTTAGCTGGTTAGTGGTGGAAATGATAAAATAAAAAGAAACGGTAGTCTGTCCGACATAACAGTATTATTAACATGACGCCGCTGTGTCAACTGTAAAGCCAGTAGGGGGAAGTCCACCCAGAGTTTTATTTAATTTATCACTCGTGTAATCACAGTATCTATTTTAATGCAGAATTTTCTGGTTTATGACTGTTGCACCATTAATTATTAAGACTTGAATATTGAGGGAAGTTTGGGCTTTCAAATTAATGTATTTCAGCTTATACACTGCTTTCGAGTTGCGCGCTTTCATTGCAACCAATGCCAGCAGCGGATACCAGTCGGCTAGAATGCCCTGAAAATTATAAAAAGAAGATTAACACACTTCAATGCGTGTCCTCCACTGCTGAAGAACACGTTCAAGCACAGCTGGAGTTATGCTTCTAATGGCGTTGGTGATACGTTGTATGGAAACTTATGGGACACCCTGTGCGTATATATATATACGGTATATATATATATATATATATATATATATATATATATATATATATATATATATATATATATATATATATATATATATATATATACACTTACTGTATAAGAGTATGCAAAGCTTTTGAGTGTTTAATTTTTGATACGCGAAGAAAGTGTAATTTTCATCACAAATTTCTGTCTTGCACTGTACAGTATATAATGTATTGTACACAGCATATTGGCGTTCATTTTACTATATGTCGGTGATCAAGCATGTCTCGAAGTATTAACATTTAATTTTATGTGAAGGATAGTAGGTATGTAAATTAATAATTAATAACGTTAGGTTGTTATACCTTAGAGCTTGGCTATAAGGAATACAGTACAGTACAGGCAGCAAGGCTTACAGTACTGTATTTTTGACAAACTGACAAGTATGATAAGTAAAACTGTGAATAGTGTGGTACAAGTTCGGGAATGGGTCATTTGGTTAATGTTAACTGAGAACATCGAACATACAAAAAAAAAATTTAATAAAGCAAGGAAAATATTTCTGCCTGTTACAATAGATTAATGCAAAGACTACAAAGCAACATTATCATTGTGGGGTTACCTGCCAGAGCAGGTGCTTAGTGTGGATAAGACTGGATTATATTGAAAGAAAATGCATAATAGAACATACGAATACATTGCCAAAGAGGCTGTACTGTAGAGTATTGCTCTCCATTACTTCATATTAAGTTAGAAGTAAATTAGCTTGCTAAACTTTATTGTCTAAGCCACAGATTGGACTGTTAACCACTTGGGTGGTCTGTTGATACATTTTTTTTTGAATAGAATACACAGTACAATAGTTAGGAGTGCTTATTTGTTTGAACTTTAATTTAGTCCTGGGGCTAAAAGCATGTTTCAGATTTTAGTACAATATTTTGGTCTTTTGGGTAATTTTAAGTGCTTTGTATTTTATCCAACAGGAGTTAAAATTTTAGTACCCACCACAATAAATCTGGTCCAAGTGGCACAATGGCACGGCACACACTGCTTTGCCTACTACTAGTTGCAACGGCTTTAGCAAAACCTGCTGATGAGGAGAAAAAATCAAGAGTCCACAATGTAAGTACAGTACAGTATTTTTCAATTTTACAGATGATTATTTGACTTGCATACACATCCAAGTAGCTGGTACAAGGCAGCTGGTTAACGTATGCTTTTTAAGATCCTTCCAGGCTGAGAAAATATTTGTTCATATTGTGTAGTGGTTCACACTGATGTTCATTCTTGTTAATAGGTACAGTATTAGGGCTCATTTCTGATGCCTTTGAAATTACAATAGAGTATTGATGAAGATACTTTGTTTGTTTTGTTTATTAATTTGGGATTAAAAATTAATACCTTACTATACTGCTACATTTCTTGTTATACAGTATTTGACTTCATTTACCATTGATTACAAATATTGTCATAACATTTCATGAAATACTCTGCTCTGATTTGTGATGACATCCTTTTTAAGTCACAGTGCTACATTGACAGGAAAAACTGAGTGACGAAGAACACTTTATAGATGAAGAGCATAATCCAGACTATGATCACGAAGCCTTCCTAGGAGAAGATGAGGCTCGGACTTTTGACCAACTCACACCAGAGGAAAGTAGAGACAGACTGAGGTATGTGTTTGGTGTATTAACCTGAGAAGTACAGTACAGGTGTATTTAGAATATTTAAAAGACAATTACAGTGTGCCCGTAAGTTTTAAATTACCTTTATATACCTTATTGGCGTCTTGCCATGGATTTTGATCAAATTTCATACAAATGTGTATTGTATCTTGTGATTTCCCACCACTTTTTTGCTTTAGTCTGAGGTTTCTGTGCCCTACAATCTACCCCAACACAATAGTGGGAGAGGAGTAAAGAAAATAGTCTTAAAAATTAAATATACCTATATACAGGTACAGTATTGCAATATATACTGTATATAATATGAAAATGTCTGAATTTCAGCAAAATAGTTGACAAGATTGACTTAGACCATGATGGCAATGTGACAGAAGGGGAACTTCAGAACTGGATAGATTACACTCAAAAGCGCTACATCAGTGAGGATGTGAAGAGGCAGTGGAATGCAAACAACCCTGAGAATAAAGAAACTCTTCACTGGTTAGATTACAAGGTCATGGTTTATGGATTTATGGACAGTAAGCATCAAAATATTTTTTAATAAACATATTCTTGAGCTTGCCTGCACCTGTCCAGTATATCTGATATATATATATATATATATATATATATATATATATATATATATATATATATATATATATATATATATATATATATATATATATATATATATATATATATATGAACTCAATCCGTTCCAGAAGGTCGTTCGTTAACCGAAACCATTGTTTCAATGGGTTTTTGGGTAATTGGTTCCAGCTCACCGAAAATTTCCTAAATTCAACAAAAATGGTAGAAAAGTTCACTTACTTTGAGGTGTGTATGTAGAAGGCTCTTGGATAATGATGATGATGATGGGATTTAGAATGGGGGTGGAGGAGAAGGAAGAAGAGAAGACATTGGGGTGTAAGAGAAGTCACCCCATGGTGCCATTTCACCCATAAAATTTTAGCTCTCTTGGTGTAATTCAAGATTATTTTCTTTAAATCAACACTGCACTGCATTATATATTGTCAATATGTAAAATATATTTCAAAATGACCAATAATTTGCTTGGAAACACAGAAAAAAAGCGTTTAGTTGAAGAGAGTCTCAAGCAAGATGTTACCTCCAGTGAAAACAGAGAGAGACTAACTCCCTGTTTGCTGTGTTAAGAGGCTGGATGCCGCGCATTAAACTAGTCACTTTACCTTCAATTATGTTCAATAATTGTTAAAATGACTAAAAAATTGAATATTAAACTTTTAAAAATATTGAATAGTATAAACTTCTTGATATTTACTAAAATAGTAAGGAATTTAAGCCCTAGAACCGATTAATGTATTGGCGGACTGATACTAAAGCTGGTTGCCCGGTCAGTGCAAGCGAAAACATGTTGAGGTCGGTTCGTAAGAACTTCGTTAACCAAATTTTTTTTCGTTAACCGAATTGAAGATCCTTATGGAAGGCAGTTCGTTAATCGAAATTACGTTAACCGAGGTGTTCGTTAAACGAGGGGTCACTATATATATATATATATATATATTTATATATATATATATATATATAAATTATATATATATATATAAATTATATATATATATATATATATATATATATATATATATATATATATATATATATATATATATATATATATATATATATATATATATATATATATATATATATATATATATATATATATATATATATATATATATATATATATATATATATATATATATATATATATATATATATATATATATATATATATATATATATATATATATATATATATATATATATATATATATCCCTGTTGCACACTTGTCATATGGAGAGGGGGGGTGGAGTTAATTTTTTTTTCATGTTTTTTATTTATTATTTTCTTGATTTCTTTATACCTGCTTAATTTTCTGTATTCCACTTTCTAATTTAACTTCTTAAAGCACTTTTTCTTTCAGTTTCTTACTTTATTTATTCCTTCTGTTATCTATTTCATAGTTATTTTACATCTTATACAAATAACCTTTAACCTCTTCAACATGTGGTAGCGTGGCAAGGTCTAGGGCACGTGGATACAGTTGTATTAATGGCACCAGTGTATGGGGAAGAAACAAAGGTAATACTGCAGGGATCATGATACCCCAACATACAATAAAGATGGTTAATTTAAAATGAGGTTGAGTACCAGACCATACACACATGAACCACTCCTTGGGCTTCACTCAAGACTTGACCAAATTTACATTAACACTGATACAAATTACAAAGACCACTTGGCCTTACTTCATCATCAGCCTAACACACAGTTCCCTGCTTATTGTGTTGTACAGTACAGTATATTTCTTTTCATTGTTCATTTTAGTTGAGCATTCAGTTGTACATTGTTTATATAGTTACCGTGTGTGAAGTAATTATATAAACAATGTATATAATCCACAGTGGACTACATACATTATGTTCCTATAATGTATGTAGTCCACATTTATATAAGTATTACTGTCTGTTAAGACAGAGGCTAATACATTGTGATGGACTTATTATTAAAGATACATGTACGTACTGTATTATTATTATGATTATTATTATTATTATTATTATTATGATTATTATTATGATTATTATTATTATTATTATTATTATTATTATTATTATTATTATATTAGATATGGACCCATCTGAGCTTGAAGATGAGGCAGAAGGAATGACATATGCAGAAATGGTGAAAAGAGACAAGCGACGGTGGGCCCTGGCAGATCAAGATGAAGATGATGCCCTCACACTTGAAGAGTTCACAGACTTCCTCCACCCAGAAGAGGCTGAGCGCATGAAGTCTATTGTGGTAACTGAAACAATGGAGGATATTGATAAGGACAAAGATGGCAAAATTTCCCTGAAAGAGTACATAGGTAGGTTATAAAAGTGTGTACGTACAGTATTGTAATTTTAATTGTGTTGATTTACAGTGTCATATATACCCCGGTGTCTGCGATATTACTGACAAATAAGGGAAGGAAGAGAATGAAGAACCTGGCAAAAGACTTAGCTCAACGTGTGGCATTACTTGGGGCGCAAGAGACAAATTTTGAGCCGTGGTGCTACCTTAAGTTTCCCTATACCCTTCCTGTACCTACTCCATCTGTCTTCTCCCTTTCAATATACAGTACAGTATATGAGAAATCAAATACAAGTACACTACAGTATAGATAATTCAACAGAAGCAATATAAGATTTATCACTACACATCATGTTGTACTGTATATAGGATTTCCATGACACTGAACAGGCATTATGCATAATATCAAGTCGATTTCCTTCTGATATTTTTATTTTGAATAATAATTTGTACAGGGTGACAGTTGATTCATGGACACTTTAAGAAATTTATTTATTTAAGCAGGAAAACGTCACAAGATACCAAACATGTGTGAGAAAACATTTTGGAAATATTGATGACATTCACATTTCTTCATTTCTTGAAACTGACTGATGTTAGATACTGTAACTTCCTTTAAAATGCATGTACAGCACAGTATTCAGGCAGTGGAAAAATTAGTTTTCCAAAACTGAAGTGGGGTTATTTCACCTCTGATTGCTTTTTTTAGTTCTGGTAATGTTCTTGGCCTATTCATATACTGCATACTGTACAGTACTTTGGAATGTAAGTGGCCCAAAAAAATACCTGGGGATTTAAGGTCCGGTGATTAGAGTGGCCGTGGAATATCCCCAAATCTTGAAGCAATATGTTTTGGAAATGTCTCTTGCAACATCTGCCTTATTTCATTTCTTGTGTGGCAAGTTGAAAGAAAATGTTACTGAAGTTTAGTACTATATGTGGCAATGTAATTTAGAAATGAATATTTCTCCCAGCATTTCGTGGTATTGATTACCATTCACACACTCGGTTTCCTTCCATCCATTCTCAAAGAAATAGTCCTTTTATGAGGATTTGCTTTGCTTTATATTTAATCATTTTGTTTGTTGACAAACCCCAATAAGTGAAGATGTGCTTCATCAGACATTATAGAGTTATTTGCCAAGATTTGGGTTACATTGCAACAATTCTAATATGTTGTTATACACTGCTAGTCAGTTCTGATTAATTGTCCATCAGTTTGTTTTTGTGCCTTATTCTTGAGACTTCCTTCTCACCAGTGTCTTTGGGTTCTGTTGGACTGCTTCTCTCACTCTTTCAATTGTTTCTTCAGATCTTACTGATTTCCTGTGCCCTGACCTTTTTGCTTCTGCTACACCGTGTGCATTAACAGCACAATAATTAATTCCATACTTTGCCCAAAACTATTTGAGCAATTGTTAGAGTATTTATTGACAAAATAAAGTTCTACAATGGCAGCTCTTTGCTCCATGCTTCATTTTTTCTTTTTCAGTTTTGATGGCATGGTTTAGTTTATGATTAGAGTACAGAATGTCCATGACTCATTACTATTACAATTTGAGCATGGATTTGGACTGATGGTTTTCCTGTAGGTGACGGTTCCCTTGTAACATTATTTAAATATTCTGTTCAGTATATTTAAAGGAAATTTCAGTAACTTATACCCTGTACTTAGAATATAGATGTCACATCTGCTTTTCATTGATAATGTAATGTATCAAAATATGCATTGGTGGGGTTTGGCTCATAACTGCTTCCCCTGACAGAATTAGCTGGCCTGCATACACCTGTATTGTATGTGATGGTGACTTGGCAAGGGTATTTAGCTTACTCAGTAGTATCAAATGTTTGAAGGCAAAAGGTTTTGCATCTTTTTGAAGTTTCTTTTAATATTTAGTATTGTTCTATGTTATTTTACTCTATACAGCAAGTCTTGTTGAAAAGGGCCATTGTTGGCATCATATGTAGAGTAAAATACATCTCTTGGTCTGGGCACTTCCTCTCAGGACAGCTCAAACAGTCTTAAAAAAGGTTTTAGTCACCCTTCTCCGACTTTTTAAATATTTAAATAAGCTTTGTGACTTATCTGTAATTTGGATAAAAACTGGTGGCTTGGTATAATTTATCTTGTCTGTACAAATTTTTGGTCTATTGGTGAAATGAAAGGCCTTGATAGGTGATGATACAGTATTAATTCCAGGAGGGGGTATGGTATGTACAGTATTACCACTTTCCATTGAATTAATGCTTCACTCTTTGTGTTTCCTGAGATCACAACTCCAGTGCTGAGTGAGGATAAGGTGTGGTGTCCAGTAAGTTAATTTCCCCCATTGTACACGTTTTGGTCAATAACAGGCTTTTTCAGTGTGTTGCTTGGCATTGATATGTCTTACAGTTGTCTTCATCATTTCCTAAACTGTAAGATGGGGATTTTCTACAATTCTACAGTATATAATCTATAATTTATACTGGTACTCACTTCTGATTATTACATCAGAAGTATTATTAACTAATTTTCAATTTTGCAGTAGATTCAAAATTAATAAGAATTTTTTTAATGGCCAGGTGACATGTATCGTGGTGGTGATGATGAGTTTGAACCTGCATGGGTGAGCAATGAGCGTGACCAGTTCCGAGAATTCAGAGACAAGAATGGAGACGGTTACCTTGATGAGGAGGAGGTAAAGTAGGGAGGACATGTTGCATATAAGCATTTAGCACATGTAGGGTCATTGGAGCACAAGCTTACCTAGTACTTTAATACTCTTGTTATGGTCAAAACTGAATACAGTACGGAGGGTGGTATACTGTAATTTATCACCAATTTATAATATATCCCACTTGCAAAGCAAAGTTTTAAGCAGAGGTATTTCAGCCATTGGCTCGTGTAGATATATTATGTAACCTAGATCCCCAAACTGGAGAATATATTTTAAATCTTCCCTCGGTATTTTATCTTCACAAGATAGTGTACAGTATGTGTTTTCACTTACATATTTATAATCACATGCTGTGGATGAAACATTTTTACTTTGTACATACTGTGTCTGTGTAGGAGTCCATCACTTGTCACTTTTTTTTTTTTTTTTTATGGGAGACTGCACTTACTCTGATAATTGCTGGAGTTACAATGACAAGGGGTGTTAGAAGCTTGATCTTGGCTGCCTTTGAATCTCGCTGTTGAAAATTTGTACAGTTGATGTACACAGTGGTAGGTGTTTTGTTCAAAAGATATCCTAATAAGTTTGAACAAATGAGTTTTTCCTAATTCTTCCTTTTTGTGCAGGTGAAAGGCTGGATTATTCCTCCAGACTATAACCACTCGGAAGCAGAGGCCAAGCATCTTGTTTATGAAGCAGACAGTGATGGTGACAAGGTGCTCACCAAAGAAGAGATCCTCAACAAATATGATGTTTTTGTTGGTTCTCAGGCAACGGACTTTGGAGAAGCATTAGTCAGACATGATGAATTTTAGGTCTTTTCAAATGGTCCTTTTCTAATTCATTTCCACTTACTTGTAAGAAAAATACCATTGGGACGTGTATAGTTATGGGTGTGCTTATGCTTTTCCCAGATTTACTGAACCAATGATCATAACATAACTGACCTCTTTCATGGTTTTTATGAAAGTTATTTTGTAAAGACTAACTAAGATATAAGTGAATCCACATTTTTTGAAGGTGATTCAAGGTAACTTAAATTTAAGTATTTCAATATGGACTGTGTGGTGTCTTGAGACCTTATATTAGGATTTCAGGTCATTTCTCTATAGTTCAAAATATAACTGAATGCCTTTTGTATATAATATTTAATGAAAAAGTTTGAGTTCCCTGACTGCTAATTTTATTAGGGTAATGCAAAATACAGTATAGAATTATTTTGTATTATGTTTCCTTTAACTAATTTTGATGTGGGGAGAAATAATATAAGTGGAAATTAATATCAAATTACTTCATGCAAACTGTCACAAATAATTAACCAAAAAATTTAATGCAAATATTAAGTGGCTTAAATCTTCCAAATTACCCACAATATAATATTTCACCCATTATTCAAATCAAAGTGTACTCTTATCATGTATGTACAATACCACTTTTTACTATATTACCTGTATACTTTTTCTCAAGTATCATTGTAATTCTTTGGCACAGATTATAGAATGAAGTGACAACGGGCAATAAAATAGACAATGGATGTGTGTAGTTAGGTTCAGTACTACTAATGAGGTAAGGAATTTCACATTACCTGTATATCATCAGGTTAGATATGTTTCTGACTGTATTTTAATAGCCAAAGAGGGATTAATAAGTTCTGTGTAGCCTTTGGTGCAGTTTGCACATTCAGTATATGACTGATAGGTTCATGTTTCAGTTTTGTGGTGAAAAAAAAAAGTCGTGTGACCAAGTGCAGGATTTTAAGACGAAAATGTAGGAATATTATTATTGTTAGTTAGGTAGTCATAAATAAATCAGCCAAAAAGTGCATGGATGACCTAATATTTCATACTTATTCACAAAGTGACACTGAAGAACTTGAGCATCAATTTTTACTCCACTATTTGAGCTTCATTAAAGCCAACTCTTGCCTTCTGTGTGAATAGCTTCCAGGATCAATTCTAGAGGGGTTACTACAAATTTATTAGGTATTGGTTTTCAGTACCCGGTATTTAAATTATCCATATTGTTGAAGATATGATTTTTGTGTATGTTTAAATTCAGACAAATTTAATTTTAATGCCCGTGATGGTAGTTCCAAATTGAAATTATCAAAATGTCTGAGCAGTTAACCAAATTATTTTGTCTGTTGTATTCTTAATACAATACAGGACAGTACTGTATTGCAAATTATGTTTTATTTTTATATGAAAAGTGAATTAAGTTACTTATAAGGTTCTTTACTAAAAGAAAAGACGTTCTCTTTTTCAATGGTGCTTGTGGCAGGGAGTGAATTTCATCCCTGTTCAATTTTTTATCAGGATATACCAGTGTTGCGGTTTTATACTAGAGCATTTCATATGCATTGACCAATTTTCAACAAGTATATTCTGACTGAAACAAGGCATTTTTAATGATCAACTCTTAGTTTTGTCTTGCAATGTCAGTACTGTGTTTATAAATATCATGATCTTTGTTGAAAGAGCCTTTTCATTGAAATTTCAAAATGATTTAACATTATTTATGCATAGGTATTTTCAGTTTAAAGAACAATTGTAGTACAGTGCAGTATTTAGAAATTGAGAGCAAATGTGTCTATCATAACAGGATAGGTAGCATGTTATTGCTGCTTTACTGTTGCATATCTTTTTTTGTAGATTCTCAATCTTCATATTTTTTTTTAATAAATATTAAATAAATTTAGATTTTTATGAAATCCGGTGCTCGGCACCAATTTGTTTCAGCTAATGGAGATATCACGGATATCTTCATTTGCCGAATTTTTATAATAGGCTCTGATGATGGAGAATCTCCACAATCAGAGCCTATAATATAGATTCCCATATTCTATGATTTAGACTTCCCATTCTTTAATTCAAATTTCCCATTTTCTATGATTAAAAATTTCCCATTTTCTATGATTAAAAAATTTCCCATTTTCTATGATTAAAAAAAAAAGGTTATAAATACAGTACAATAACTTTGATATATTTATATATTTTGACTCTTGAAGATAATAAAATCACAGATTTATAGTTTAAATAGACTTCTTCAAAGTATTTACATGTTGAGTGAGCATAAGAAACTGTTTGAAATGAGTGAGGTGGAATGAATTACCTTGAGCCATGTTTTTCAATCATGCTTCCTGCAAATAATTTCCTATCAACAAACTAATCATATAAATTCCCAAATTTACAGTACTACAGGTATTTGTTATGTTTAGACCCCTGAATGTAAATTTCAATGTTTTTTTTTACTTAAGTTACAAATCCAATTTCATTATGGATTGCAGTTAGCAAGATTGAACGACAGTTCTCTTGGAGCAGTAGTCTTGTGGCACTTCAGTGCCACCCTGGGAGGCAGAAGCTCCAGGCCATTACCACAAGTTTGTGCACCTCTTCACACAATTCAGACAATGCCCGAGCCAATTATGGCGGGGAAACTTGCACATTTGAGACTGCTGCCAGCTAAGAAATAGGGGCATGAAAGGGACAACTTATATGTGACATGTAATTTCATGGTTGGGTAATGTTGTACATGTAACTGGCCCCATTTATTATACAAAAATAGGGCCAAATGTACTGTCCCATTCATAAATTTACCATCACACAATATGCTGAATTCACAATGCCACTTGGGAAAGAATACTTCAACCAATGACTGACTTTGAAGGCATAATTGCCACAGACAAAAACAGATTACACAATATTATGTACAGATGGTCAGTTGTGAAATAACTACAAGGAAATAGGCTGACAAAAATAAAATAATTAAGAGGCAGGTTCTGATTCAAGAACATCAGGGTTGTCAGTGCATTAATCATGGTTGTACTTTTAAATGCAATTTTTTTTTTTAATTAATTACCAGTTTCAGTCATTCAACTTACTCAGATATTCTTTGTTTCATTAAAATGCTGGATTTCTATATTCAGGTACCATTACCAATAACAAATATCATATTCCTCTCTCCCCCCCCCCTCCCAAAATCATACAATCAGGAAAAGATGCCATGTTACTCTTGGAATCAAAACATTAAAACTTAGCACTGTCTTAAACACTTGAAATTTTATGCAGTTGCTATTATCATCAGCTATTGACAGTGACTAGTCACCTAAAAAAAAGAACATGCAATTTAATATGTAGCCAAATTTACTGCAACAGAATAAAAATGGCAGTTTCATCACATGACAGTTCAAATAACCTCCAGGTAGCCTATGGAACATATGCTAATGATTGAACACTGCATGAGGGATCAAAATCTCTCTACTGTCACTGTGGTTTCCATAAGATATCAAATACTGTGCGACCAAAGATTCAATACCATGTTTGGTCTACTGTACTAACTGATTAATTTAACAGGAGACACAGACCTTACAAATAATGAGCTCTTCAATGATTACTTCATTTTGCTATAAAGAGGGCAGGAATCTGAAGATATTGGATGACAAAGAATGATATACAAAATAGACATAATTTAGACCTTTCCCAGCCACAAAAGAAATTAAATTTGAAATTTGCAAATGAGAATACACTACATGTGTTTAACATGCCAGTACCTGACATTGCACTGCCTATGTTCAAAACATCATGTGATAGAGACATTACATGCAGTTCAGTTCAGTTGAAAATGAAAGTTCTCATGTTGATACTACCTGTACTACAAAAACATTTATAAGGCAAATCTTTTCTTATGAATCGTCATATTCTTTAAAATGTCATTCATGACATAATTGGAACGTACTAGTTTTGTTTTAAGACATAATGGGTGAACAATTGACTGACTACAATGTATGAACCTTGACTCATCTATTCACAGTAAATGTCTTGGAAATGAATCACATAACTGATATCAAATGGCCTATAAAAAACTGCTACCAACACTTATCTGATAACAAATAAACATTAAATCTGACTTTAGGAACAACTACAATGTGCAGGAATCATCAAGTAACTTCTCATATCATTAAAAGCAACCAATGCAGAAAACAAAGCAATGAATTTTAGGTGTCACATCGATACAATGAAGCAACAGCCACATAATATCCTATACTGTTGGTTGGGATCTAGTTACAGAACTAGTGAATCATCCCTTAAACTGCATGGCACAAAATATTAGATGAAGTAGAGTAAACAACTCTACATAATCCCAAATGTTACTTAATACAGTGCCTCATTCCATAGTTTGTGATTGCAACTTTTCATTCTATCACAATGTTCAGAGTAAGAAAATAAATTGGCACCAATAATACATCATGGGTGATTATGATTTACTTAAAACCCTAGATAATTATGGTAATGTAACTTCAAGAGTAACTGCACTTTCTCCAATCCTATTAACTAGATTGCAATTTTAATTTCTCAGGATAGGACATATTTGCTCCCAGCAAATACAAACACTTCAGTCATTCCTTACAACTCTCAAGAGTATGGAGGAGATAGTCATTAATGCCCAATCCTCACAGCTGTCCAATTTCTCTTCTTTTTTTTTTTTGTTACTGAAATTATACCACCACAACACCACTATTTTCCCATCAACATTCACATAATCTGTAACATTCATGCGATGGCTAAATAATGTCAGTAATAGAAAATGTGATTGATATTTTCATATGTTCACTTTACTAACCGAAAACAAAAATCATAATTAAGAGAAACTAATGCCAATGTTATCTGAATAAGAAAAAGGAAAAGAATGAGGGAATAGACCTTGAAACTTCACTAGCAATGAATATTATCCACATACAGCATCTATATTCCTTCCTGTAATATTAAAAATTGATGATTCTACAATCTTCAATTGGGGACATTCTGGTAAATCATAAATATCTTAAATCCTGAACAGAAAGGAAAATATATTGCTTACTTGCAATACACTACAGAGACCTAACGAGCACCAATTTCCAGTTTAAAATTTGAGTATTAATTACACCAACTTTCCACGACATCTTTTTAAAAAGCATTAATAAATTTTGAAGCATCAAGACTGTCAACACACTGATGTGGTTTAAAAATTTAGGTTCACAATAAAACCAGAAAAGAATTTCCTTTGAAAGCATTAAACCATCTCCAAATTTTGGGCATACTATGGAGCTTTGTACAAGACCAGAATCCCATTCAATGAAATGCTGTAATAACTTTAAGTGATGAGCAAACACCTCCCACTGTGAGTCTTTGTGAATTCTGGATACAGTACAGTAAAACCAAACCATTTCAAGCTAGCTGTATGGAGGAAAGGCAAGCTAATTTTTTTTTAATGAATTGAGTAAAATTCACACAACTTACAATGTATCCTCACAAAAACTGTTACTGTATTTCCCTTATTGGTCTACAGCACTAGCACCACACTCCTCTTTATCTGTCACCGTGACTGTACAGTAGCACTTCACAAAACCAAAAGCTTTGGGAAAACATTCACTTGAAAATAATACAATTAAAAAAATCAAGAAAATTTTGAAAAAAATTTGAAAAATTAACATTTACCAGAAGAGTAAATGACAATGTCCCTTCCCCAAAATTAAACTAATTTTTATTTCTGGACAGCTTCCCACCAATTATACAGCTCCATCTTCTTCATATGGAGATGCTAAAATAGAAAAAAACACAAACTCTGCTAATGGATTAGCTTGAAATGTTAAAGAAGGACAACATGCTCCCCTAGGCCATGTACACACACTGTCACCTGGTTCAGTTTTTCTAACTTTGTTTTAATGTTAAGGCAGTCATATTTCACTTCATCAATATATAAATAGAGGGTTTGGGAGATGAACTAGAAGGTCACTTAGATGACATTGCACTAGTCATGGAAAATCCATTCACTGAAAGCATAGGTCAACACACAATGGTCAATATATCAATGAAGCTAAGGAACATGTAGGCTGCCTCATTCTCCACTCCACAAGGTCTCATGCACCCCAAATGCACAATGGAGTCCACATATGCCTACATTGGTAACACAACCTTTGCACATCAATCCCAGTAGGTGGCATAATTGAAAAATTTTCTCACAAGAAGCAGAATTGCTAGAAATAGGGTCTTGACATAATAGCAAAATTGCAGAAAGTGAGGTCACATAAAATTATGGACACCTGTACATACAGTATTACTCCCAAATAGCATTTGATAATGTAATCCCATCTTGAGCCACCAGAAAATTTTTAGCTTAATACTGTACTGCAAAAATTAATAACCAATTTTGCCAAAGGCCCATTACCTGTTACATAATTTGGTGGGACTACAGTAGTGTGTGTATACAGGACTGCTTGTGACGAGTAATTTTTTCATGTGGATACCTGTGTCAGGATAAAAAAGGCATACTGTATGATTTAAGCTTCCTGGTAGTCAATAAATGGATAGACAAGTTTCTACAGTTATCACAACAGCTGATGAACAAATAACATAGCAAGATAAACTTTAGCCAGACTGTACTGCACCAAGTACACAATTTCTCATTTAGGAAACTGTGATTCCTTAAAAAAATGCAAAAATGTATCACTGGAATTGTTGACAAAGTCAAACATACCTGTATTGTGGGAATCAACTAGAACTTATCATTACCAATATGGAATTAATTTTACCTTATAATCTACATTTAAAATCATCAATTGGTCAGCCCTATATCAATAATGTAAGACCACTGTCAAGTAAACTTTAAAAGGCATACAGTATACAGTGAACCCTCACTTTATGCCGTCAATTGAACC